TCATGCGAATTACACAAATGGACATATATAATATGTCTATGGGTTATGGTGACAAGAAGATTCAAAGGCGAGATTCATACAACTTGTTCACGAGACAGTGTAACTAGTTTACCAACACTTTTGTCTATTAATTGGAATACCAAGGGGGTGGAAAATTGTTCGCAAATTGGTGAGAATGATGTGTTAATGTGTGTGTGCGTGTGTGTGTGTTTCACTAGGTATAAGGCAGAGAGGGAAAGTTAGAACACGTGAATATGCGAAGACAGGAAGTTAAAAGGGCGATTAAACAATACTGACGTGTATCAAGAACAAACGTCGGAATTCATTCCCCAAGTTGAGGTGCGAAATTAGGGAGGTGTAATTGGTGTGTGTGGGTGGATTGTTTCAGTGAATGGGACAGGGAGAGGAGAGCGAAAGTCACGATGATGAGGTGAGGAGTAAAGGATAGGGTGAGGCGGGGGCGGATTAACTCCACGGTAAAGTCAATGCTTCTGAGCGCACAGAATCGGGTTCGTTCTTCGTATGGTTACGGCTTCCGCGCAGTTTATTTGCTGACGGTAGACAATTCGGAATGCGTCCGTTGGATTCCATCGGTGGCCAGTCTTCTTCATGTGTTTCGTGATAGAGCTTTGAGCGATTCCAGTTGCGTTTGCCAGCAGCCATTTTGGAATGTGCTCGCAAATGCCGCAAAGTACGACCGACGTAACGTATCTGCATCCACAAATACAAGAGAATTCATAAATTACATTTGAGTTGGCGGTTGCAGGGATTTGATCCTTTCTCGATGGCATCGGCACTTGATTTGTCTGCCCGATGAAGACCAACTTGGCCGCATAGCACGTTCGATTGACTGCCGTATTGAGACGGCGTTTAATGAGAATTGATATGTCATCACCTTTAAAGGGTAAACAAAGAGAAACATTTTTCCGGGGAACAGCGTGTATATATGTTTTTCTTTCTGCTGTTTGGCATACTTATCAACGAACTTTGCAGGGTAGCCGTTGTCCAACAGTGTTTCATAGAATCTAATTGTTACCATAACCCATGAACATGTGTAATGCCCATTTATAATTCGCATGTAGTAACTGATGATATGCCAAAGGAATGTCGTAGCAGCCGACATCTTGCATAACACTACTGGCTTTTTAAAATTTATTCCGGAAGTCATTGTTTTGAAGAAAATTCGAACTAACATGAGAGAGGATATTAATCTATTGGAATATATGATGATTGCTTCGTGGAAATGAGGCGTGAGTTGAAAAGCCAGAAATCATTGGACAACTACTTCGACTTGGTCCAGTCTCATCAGCCCCATTGCGTAAATCCCTCAACTCAACTGGGACTCACGAACCCGGGGTCTCACCGGTAGAAAACAAGCCTACTGGGCGACCAGGCAACCGATCGGACCGCTTCTCAATTTGAGTATACGCGATAAAGCACAGCTCTTCTTTGCGAACTAAATGCGGGCATCTCGCCTCCTCATTTAGGCACAGGTCTTCAGCTCACGCTTTGTTTACCAGAAGAATTTTTCATATAATCAAATCAAATCCTCCATTTTCCTCATACACTCTATGGATTTAATCAGTCGGGTTTTTGGAGCATTCTCGTTCAACGTCAACACTATATGATTCGTTGCTCATCCGCTGCAAACGCTTAGTCCAAAACAACAGACACAATTTCACACATCCATCAGCAGTCCCCACTACTTGGAAATATCATTTTGTGAAACCCAAAAAATCCGTATCATCAAGTACGCGAGAATGGTTCACAAACAACTTAGAACGTGGCTATTGTTTTCCGAACGTAGCGAAAGGAAAATGATAGCCAAAGAATATCGGACTGGAAAAATTGAGTGAGCACCAACCAGACGGTCAACAAACTGATACAGAGGATTTGTGTACGATGCAGAGGAGATATGCGGAAAATGGAATGCTCAGTAGCGGCCGAGTGGTTAGGTCACGGANNNNACCGCTGATTGTCTTCCTCATTGCTGTATTTTCTGCACGGCAGTTGATCCCGTTTACATGTTGACTGTTCATTTGTATATTCAATGAATATTGATGTGTCGAACAGCGGACAAACTGTTTAAGGTGATGAACACGGCTATGAATTGTTCACGATTGCCTTTTAATTGGCCCCGAGTTGTTTTTGCATCTAAACAGCCGAAAAGAGCAGTTCATGCTCAAATCTCAGTCAAAACAAGATGGTTCAATAGCTGCATTTAGACAGTAAATAATATGGTCAACATTAAATCAGACCGTTCAAGAGAATCATCTGGGCAAAAGGTAGCACCAAATCCGTCTTGACAGTTGTGGATGATCTGATGAGACATTATAAAAAAAATACGCATGATTGAAAAGCTCTGTTGATGCATATGGTCCGATCAGCCGTATTACATACGAAATGAAAAAAACAAAAACATTGAAATGCTCCTGGGCGAATGATCCTGCGAAGTGAGATCATTTTCACAGTTATTTTATTGTCAACAGGACAAGCACAC